TATATATTTAATTTATTTCTTTTGAATTGATATATGAGTTTTAATTCATATAATGTATACGTTTTTCAGATTAATATTTTAACATAATAGCCGATAGGATGATCAGAAGCTCCGGATTGCCAGTTGCCTTATTTGAGCATTATTTAAGTTTACTGTAAATTTTATATTAATTATAATGTGGTTTATTAAAATTATAATAATTAAATAATTTTATACATTTATTACTATCAAAATTAATAATTAAAAATATTTTTATAAATAGTTTGTTTTATTCTAACTGTAATATTTGGTACTGTATTATTAAAATCACTATTATACACTAACGTAAAATAAAATTTAATAATACAAAAACTAAATAAAATAAATGCTATATTACCGATCTCTAGGTAATAAATAAAATAATTTTATATTAAGTTAACCAGTTATCCATGTTATTCATACATCAGTTTCTACGATATTATCAATATAAACGTTATATTAATTGGTATTTCAATCGTCATAGAATTTATTGCGTTATATAAATATACAGTAAATATAACTAAAATAAAACGGTTATGATATCATATCGTAAACAATCTATATCAGTATTAAAATATTTAAGATACACCACCAACGTCAATTTTTACGCCACAAATAAATTGTTTAATAAAGTAAAAATTTATTTTTCTAATTTACCTTGACATGCCAATATTCAAACTCTACATTACAGGCGCTTAAAGTAACGTTCTAATACTCCTAGCCTTGAAAATGCCGAAACTTGCATAGAGTAATGACTATGTATTAATACTAATTTTATTGACTTGAGTCATTACTCTATGCAAGTTTCGGCATTTTCAAGGCTAGGAGTATTAGAACGTTACTTTAAGCGCCTGTACTCTACATGATCATAAATTGCAAAGAGAATAATTATTTTTGCACATTCATGATTAAGTACTAATAACCTTTAAAAGATCCTGGTTGCTTCAAATCCAATGTGATTGAATGCTTTACAATTAAACGATAAGGTTGTTTAGCATTATATACACCACATATCTTAATAAAACACTTGAAATTTATAATATATTTTATGCGTTATCATTGCCTAAGAGTGAAATGTTTGTCTTTAATATTAATATTTTAAAATAATATTATTTTTATAATTTATTGTATGATTTATGCGTGTTAATTATTTTACCTTAACTGCTTTATTCTAAATAATTAACTGTGAGCTAAACAATTAATATATTATGAATTAAGCATATTTTTAAGTAATAAAATCAATTAATTAAAGCATCTTTTAATAGTGATAAAAAATTATTGCAATAAAGTATTAAAAATTGTAATATGGCTGATAAATTTGATAACTGCATTCATCCGGATAATTTACAAACAACCAATATAAATCTCGGTCAAAATACAATCGCCGACGAGCAAGCTTATTTCTCTGAAACTTGTGTGGCTGTGTTTAAATGTATACCATTACCATGGAAATCAATTGATAATGATAATGACCATCATAAATCATTGTCAGATATAACTGATCCAATGCTAACAGACACGCCTAAAGTCAGTGATAATAATGACAACAACAACAATAACGATGATGATAATAAATGTTGCGCTGAAACAATTAGTGATGGTGAAACTGACGACACCGTGTATGTCACCGACGATCAGTTGGCAAAATATACGGCAATATTAATAGACAACTACGTGACCGAAGTCCAGGAGTGTATAGACCGGGAAACCACGGATATAATCCACGCCTTACAAGAGGCTCGTATTGGGGCGCAAACTAAATGCATGGATGAGTTTAACGGTGAGTTTGCCGATAGTAAGCCCGTAGACCTGGTGGACAAGTATAGGCATAGGTTGGAAATGTCTGTATGCGAGCAAAATGTCACGTTTGAAACACTGTGTAAGGCTAGGGTTGCCAACGGAGACCAATTGGTAGATGAGTTGAGCGAAAAGTTTACGCATTTATTGCACAGGAAATTGGATGAAAATTTTTTGGTAAATATAAAGTTAGAAATTTTTGGCCAATTTTATTGCGATATTTTTGAGGAAATTATGCGAATGTTTGACAACCGGTCGGAGAGTTTGAAGAGTTTGCGACAATTTTACGGTCAAATTTTGCGACAGTTTATGACCGAACAGAAAGAGTTGTACACATATTTCAACGACATTTACGGCCGGTTCACCGCTAAGTGTGAATACCTGTGCGCTAGCGATCAGTATTGTATCGATGGTAACCAATTGGCAGAGTATTTACTTAAACGACAAACAGTTATCGACTTATTTCAAGAAGATTACTATTTGTGCGAAAAATTCGGCGAATTGACCGCAACAGCGATCGATGAATATAAGCGACAAATCGCCGAAATAAACACCAAAAACGCTAAATACGTACAAAACTACATACAAATGGGTAAACAAGTGTACGAAAAACAAATGAGTAATTTACTCAAAAGCGGTACATTTTCCGACGAAACATTCCGGGAACAGAACAACGCTCTACTCGATAACATCTGGGTTAAAATGGCATACAAATTATCGACCAAACAAATCAAACATTCCGTAATCAGGGAATGCAAACAACAACTCGAGCTAAGCATGGAACCAGTGTACCATGCTCAATTGGCGCTAAACCAGCAAATACACGAACTCATTAACAATCTAATGACCGAAATGCTATACAAACTGCACGAACAGTACTGTCAACAATTTGCAGCTAGACTATCGCAAACACCCTACCTGGATCGTTGCGATTTTAACCAAGTTCACACCGATCTGGTCAGTCAATTGTGGCCCCGACTCGAGTCGATTGTATTCGACCAGAAGACTCGTTTCACCGACAAGTATTTGTGGGAAATATTGAGCCTGAATAGGGTCAACATCGAGCTCAACGTAGATGAATCGAAAGAAAAATACTGGACCCTCAACGAGCGTAAACGAAACAAATCCACCTCGCTAATAGTGTCGTTCGCGGACACCCCTACCGGCGCGTACTATGACCGACCGGCGGGCGCCATATTGAACGTGGTTGACGTGAATAACACGGGCCGATTGGCCACCAATAGCCTGGCCTTTGACGGCAAACGTATACTGTATGGCGCGGAGGCCGAGCGCTACCTTAATGGCGCCAAATCCCACATCATTGACATAATGGGTAGGGATGTGAGCGACGACGAGCTGTATAACTACGAGTTCCGGTTTGTGGACAAAAATCACCTCAAAATACGACTAATATATGGCGACGAAGCGAACACTAGCCTAGAGTTGAACGTTGAGTCACTGTTGGCGCTGCAAACGATCGAGATAAAAACGGCGGCCGAACGGCAATTTGATTCGCCCATGTTGAACACCCTGTTTGTTGTGCCCACCGGGTATACAATTAGGCAATTGAACGCTGTCCGTGACTCGGCCACTATAGCCGGTATTGAGCATGCACATTTTATTACCGAGATGTCTGCGGCGGCCATTGATTTCGGTTTTAATACCAGTAATTACGACCGAAATCTCGCCTTTCGTGAAGTGCTTATAGTTATATTCGCGCGTAATATATGTGAGTTAGCTCTGGTCGAGTATATTGACGATGGTATGCGCTATAAGGCGTATAAATGTGTGCCCATTACTGGCCAAACACCGAACGAAATGTATAATTTTGTTAACAAAAAATTACCAACTTGGTTGGCCAGTTTGTTTAAATACGTTAAATATAGCAAGGTGTTTGATGGTTTAGTTATTGGTATGTTTTGTAAATTCTAATTATTTTAATTACTAGAATAATAATTATAATTTATTAAATTTTGACCCAGGTGACTATCAAATAGCGTCCAAAATTAATTTCGAAAAGCTGCCCAAAAAGTATTGCACCAGGATCACTTTTAATTGCGTGATGTCGGCCATTATAACGAGGGGTGCCGTGTATTACAGCGACCACTACGAGACCCATCGTAAGCCCATTCCCATCAGTGGTGTATATTTGCGGGACATTATGTGTTGTATTGTGTTTAATGACAACATTAAATACATGGACACTTTGGTCCGGGCCAACGAAACACCCGGCACGTGTTGTTACCAGAAATTCAAGCTGCCTAGCACGTGCAAATTACCAATATTCATTTTTATTATGGACGGCCCCGAGACTGTGATTAAACAGTATATTATTCACGAATTAAATAAACATGTTAACCTCGGCGAAGACCTATATCTGTTTATTACCATGTGCAGCGACACCTACTTTGCCACCAATTACGAGTTTACCATACATGGTAAAATTGCGCCCAAGTACATATCGAACGTTCCTAATGAGATAATGACCGAGGTGCATTATAATTTGACCCAGGAACAGTTGGGCGAGCAAAAGGCCCTGGTGGCTAAACTTCGAGAAAACGACGATTTAATGAATTGGCCTCTAAATAATAATCTGGTAATAAATGACGATGATGAAATAACTGACTATGTTTGCAATTATTATACGAGCGTAAAATACATAAAAGCAAATGTCCCTAATGTTAGCGATTCGATGGAAATTACACCGATTAACGAATGCAAAGAGATTATTGCCAGAGAACCGATCGTGATCAGCGCCGATTACCTAGACACATTTATAACTAAACTAGCCGATTCGTATACAGAGCAAATCTTGACCATGATGGATTCCGATAAATTTGTCGCACGTGATTACTACAAAAAATGCAGAAAAGTCCGAGATAAAATTTTAAAACAATATTATAATGAGCTGTACGACAAAGACCCTGCTCAATTGATTGATAATTTTAAAACAAATTTAATTACTTTAATGGACAATAAGGTGAAACAGTTGTTGACGGAAAATACCGATAGTTACACAAAATTGATTGACAAGTGTGTAGAAGAGTTTCACACAAAAATGAGCATGGCCATTGCAACCGATTGGCAACTAAACCAACCTGATATAAATACTTTTGATCGTATATTTAACCAAGTTGACAACGAAATTATAGCCATATTCAATGAACTCTCTGCCGATTTAGTCAACGAAAGTCAAAAACAGAAATTTATGTCACAATTGGACGAAATAATCACCGAATCGGCCGTAAAATACAAACACGTATTCAATGGCGGCCCACAAACGCTGACTGACACAGATATAAGCGACACCGAACAGCGGGGTAATACCGGAGAGGGACCGGGGCTGACAGTGTCGGACACTAGTAAGACGGCGTGTCGTTTAAAACGAAAATGCTCGAGTGTTTGTAGGAAGGGTGAATCCAAACAAAAATTGGACACAGTAACACCTATTGATCAAGCTATAATTGATCAAGCTTCAAATACACTTCAAGCTGACCCGGTCAATCACGTGGCCACAGTTAATACACATGTAACCGACCTAGATCAGCCAATGAGCGAGCCTCACCCAATATCTAGTGTGGCCGCAAAATTGGCTCATACTAGCGTTGTGACTGTCCATTCGCACAAAGTGGTCGCCCATGCTAAGCACCATCAAACTGCCGCTGTTGCCAACGACCATGATGATAATTTTATTAGCACAGCTGTGATCGACGAGTTTACCCGTTTCGCTGCCGGCATTCGCGATCGTTTAGATCTACACAATGTGTTTCATACAAAAAAGTCCCGCATTTTAGACCAATTGAAAATTTCCGAGACTATTGTCAGGTCTGATACGAATCGGTTTGACGAACAAAAAGGTGAAATACTGGCTATGATTAAGAAGTTGAAGCTAAGCGCCAAACTTATCACGGTGTAAGTATTGCCAAATTAAATGTTGTTTGAATATAATTAATTACATTTTGATTTTTGTTTTTATTGCAAAAGGTAATATAAATTAAACAAGTATGGTTTTGTCATTTGTACTTATTATAATTTATAAAGTGATTATAGTATTATTCATGTTGTTCAATTATTAAATCAGTTGCTATTTAATTTCTTGTGTTAATAATAATATTTAATTTACATTTAACCATGTATTTAAACTTTGAAAGTATGTACTTTATTCATTAAATATGATTAAACATTAAATAATTATAATAAAATTAATCGGAATTTGAAATAAAATTCTCATTGTTTAAAATTATAAGTATCTATTAAATATATAAGTATCAATAAATATCTTGAAATACCAACATACGGTTCTTAAAAATAGCTAAAACTCGCAATAATTAAGTTCACAAATAAAATAACTATAATTAATGTTGAAAAAAGTTTAAAAAGTTTTTAAAAAAAGTCTACGACACCGGGTATTCCCAGGTGGTCTCCCTCCCAAGTACTAACCCGGCTCGACGCTGCTTAACTTCGGTGATCGAACGAGAACCGGT